CGAAATGTTTCTCCACACACCGGGTGACAGAATATGTCTCTTACCTCCGAACATAATAGTTCTTGATATGGGATCATAATTTTTAACCAAGAAAGCCACCAACTTTGAATCCATTTGTGAAACGTTCATACGCGATAATGCACCAAATCTAACCTTGTCTAAATCACGGCGCTGGCCAAGAGTTCAGTTTTTATTGATCTTGAGCAGTGTCGCTAGTTTTGTTCTGTGAAAGAAAAATAAGTCATCCCTTGAATAACCTGGTGCTTTGATAACTTCTTTTCTTCTTCTTCTGGAACGACTAACAGGTGTAGCCTTCAATTTGAACATTTAATCTAAGTGAATATTAAAACATTTACACGACATATGAATCTCATTACGAAAGCAAATAATATGAATTAGCCAACAACAGCAATTACCTCTTGAAAATCAGTCATTTCTTCGAAAAGTCCCACCTGCTGCGTTTGGTAATGGCTCCACCTATGTATACGAGTATGGCGTTCCCTTTGTTTAAGATGAAGATGGAGGTAATTTTCTGAATATGGAGGTATATTTTTCTCTACATAGTGAGCAGCGTGGATAGGGTGATTTTTTTTCCGTGTGTCCGTCGTTGAGATCCTTTAGGTTAACTGATTGGGTGGTTATTTTTTCGTGTGTCCATTGAGATCTTTTAGGTTAATTATCAATTACGTATCCCGATATCCATGCTTTCAATTCAATACATAAGAAACTACCGTAATCAATCAATGAAATGTCAATATATTTTGAATATATTAGTAGCAGTTGACATATAAATGTAATTCTCAAATTTGGTAAATTTGCATTTGAAGGGTGTATATTTGGGCAAGATTTGTTATTGTTGAAAAAAATTAGAAAAAAAAAAACATGATGTTGAGCATATTTATTTTAGGGTAAAATACTTTTTCCCATCCGAACTATCACAGTTTTGGCGCATCACCATATAAACTATTTTTTTTTTACAAACCACCATATGAACTATACAAGTTTGTCAATGTGCCCCCTAAACCAGATATAAAAGTGGTTTTGACTGAAAAAGCTGTTTGGACACCATATGTGCCCCCTAAATACTTTTACAAACCACCATATGAACTATCACGGGTTTGTCAATGTGCCCCCTAAACCACTTTTATATCCGGTTTAGGGGGCATATTGACAAACCCGTATAGTTCATATGGTGGTTTGTAAAAAAAATTAGTTTATATGGTGATGCGCCAAAACCGTGACAGTTCGGATGGGAAAAAGTATTTTATCCTTTATTTTATGACCAAAAAAAAAATGTTTTGTTTGTTTTGTTTCAAAAATTATTATATGAGCATACATATATTATATATTTAGTATGACACGTTTTATTTGTGCAACTTACCTGTGTTATATTATAATAATTCTTTTAACTTACAACATATAACTACATTAAACATAAATATATCAATTGAAAAATAATATTATTTTTCTAATGTATTATAATAAATATTATTATTTTTAATTATAAAGAAAAATATAATTTATTTATTTCATATATACAATATGGATGTCAAATCGAAGATCATCAAAAGATGATCAATTTGATATATTATATATGTAAAACATATAAGATATACAAAAGTTATCAAGTTTGAAAAATATATTTACAATTCAATAGCTAATTGTATGAAGCAAATCAAAAGTCATGGATATATTAGTGCCTCATTATGTAAAATTACAAAGAATTTATTAAAATACCTAAGTTAGCAAATCATTAGTAGGTGAATAGATTTTTAATTATTAATATATCAATATTATTTGTCCAAACCAATTTACGAAGCATGATTCTTCGCCAAGTAGGATTCCGAAGCACCATAAGCAGCCACGTAGGCTCAGCGCGTTCGTGAATTATATATAAGGAGATGATTCGGGAATTATACATAAGGTGATGATATAAGGGGATATTGTTTATAATTTAGTGTTTAAGGTTTAGGGTTTTGGGTTTAGGGTTTAAGATTTAGGATTAGCATATCCAAACAATAGTTTGAAAATATAGCACGTTGTACTTTGGTCTGATGCTTTAGTACAATAATAAAGTTATTAATCGTTAAATCGAATAGGCGAAAACGAATAGCGTCGAAATATAAATTTTACGAATCATGTTTCATTAGCATATCCAAACAATAGTTTCAAAATATAGCACGTTGTACTTTGGTCTGATGCTTTAGTATAATAATAAAGTTATTAATCGTTAAATCGAATAGGCGAAAACGAATACCGTCGAAATTTAAATTTTACGAATCATGTTTCATTAGCATATCCAAACAATAGTTTGAAAATATAGCACGTTGTACTTTGGTCTGATGCTTTAGTACAATAACAAAGTTATTAATCGTTAAATCGAATAGGCGAAAATGAATACCGTCGAAATTTAAAATTTACGAATCATGTTTCATTAGCATATCCAAACAATAGTTTGAAAATATAGCACATTGTACTTTAGTCTGATGCTTTAGTACAATAATAAAGTTATTAATCGTTAAATCGAATAGGCGAAAATGAATACCGTCGAAATTTAAATTTTATGAATCATGTTTCATTAGCATATCCAAACAATAGTTTGAAAATATAGCACGTTGTAGTTTGGTCTGATGCTTTAGTACAATAATAAAGTTATTAATCGTTAAATCGAATAGGCGAAAACGAATACCGTCAAAATTTAAAATTTATGAATCATGCTTCATTAGCAGATAAAACCAATAGTTGAAAAATTAGCATATCCAACCAATAGTTTGAAAATATAGCACGTTGTACTTTGGTCTGATGCTTTAGTACTATAATAAAGTTATTAATTGTTAAATAGAATAGGCGAAAAATGAATAACGTCGAAATTTAAATTTTACAAATCATGTTTCATTAGCATATCCAAACAATAGTTTGAATATATAGCACGTTATACTTTGGTCTGATGCTTTAGTACAATAATAAAGTTATTAATCGTTAAATCGAATAGGCGAAAACGAATAACGTCGAAATTTAAATTTTACGAATCATGTTTCATTAGCATATCCAAACAATAGTTTGAAAATATAGCACGTTGTACTTTGGTCTGATGATGTAGTACAATAATAAAGTTATTAATCGTTAAATCGAACAGGCGAAAACGAATACCGTCGAAATTTAAAATTTACGAATCATGCTTCATTAGCATATAAAACCAATTGTTGAAAAATTAGCATATCCAACCAATAGTTTGAAAATATAGCACGTTGTACTTTGTTCTGATGTTTTAGTACAATAATAAAGTTATTAATTGTTAAATAGAATAGGCGAAAACGAATACCGTCGAAATTTAAATTTTACGAATCATGTTTCATTAGCATATCCAAACAATAGTTTGAAAATATAGCACGTTGTACTTTGGTCTGATGCCTTAGTACAATAATAAAGTTATTAATTGTTAAATCGAATAGGCGAAAAAAAAATACTGTCGAAATTTAAAATTTACGAATCATGCTTCATTAGCATATTAAAACCAATAGTTGAAAAATTAGCATATCCAACCAATAGTTTGAAAATATAGCACGTTGTACTTTGGTCTGATGCTTTAGTACAATAATAAAGTTATTAATTGTTAAATAGAATAGGCGAAAAATGAATACCGTCGAAATTTAAATTTTACAAATCATGTTTCATTAGCATATCCAAACAATAGTTTGAAAATATAGCACGTTCTACTTTGGTCTGATGCTTTAGTACAATAATAATGTTATTAATTGTTAAATCGAATAGGCGAAAAACGAATACCGTCGAAATTTAAAATTTACGAATCATGCTTCATTAGCATATAAAACCAATAGTTGAAATTTATACTTATGTTATACCAAAACATTTATTTTATTGAATCACATTATAGTCAAATCGAAATTTGAATAAATATTTTTTTTTAAAATAACATGCATTATTTTGAAAAGAATATAATATAATTTATTAGTATTAGTTACGTGCATTGTATGGTTTGTGTACAAGTTTTAAATATACATATTTTATATAATCTTGTACAATTCAATTTTCGTATAACATTTTAAAAAATTAATATAGGTAAACTTTATTGTATTACATATTGATTCAATATACTTAATTTATAAAATATTTTTCAATGCAAGATGAAAACGTTTCATTGTAAAATGAACATGTCAAACTATAAAATGAATATGTTATGATACAAGATGAATAAGTTTATTTCGCACGAAATATGTATCTTAATAAGACGAATATGTTTCATTGTAAAATGAACATGTCAAACGATAAG